GTGCGGGGCTGTTTATTTGAATCGGTTGCTGAGTTTCCGCTGGAAATTTACTCTTCATAAAATCAGCCCGGCTGGAAAGTTTCCAAAGAGACCATGGAGAGAGAGTACGGTTTACTAGCGAAGCAAGTAGTTGGAAATATTGGAGTGTTTTGTTTGACTGTGGCAGAAAAGGTGCAATTGACGAGGAAGAGACCAACTTTGTATTTTGACTGCAATTGGAAAAATATCCTCTTTTGGCAAAGACACACAATGGAGCAATGAGAGATCGTCATTTCCTTAGTGAGCGATATCGATAAGTGATTTTTTTGTACTTACTCTTGCTACACACCAGCTCTGTATTTTACAGAGATGTATTGAAATAATGTACTCAGGCACAAAAAATCCCTACCATAACATCACTCTTGGTAAACAAACTTGCTTGCCTTTCAGTCATTTCAGGGTTTTGTTTTTTTGGAAAAGAAAAGCAGTTGGCCCCGGGTTTGGCAAATGCCCGGCTCCCGGTTAGCGTAAAATTTGCAAATGCCCTACCCCAGGGACTGACAGGGCGATCAAATGTCCCACAGTAGCCCGGTCTGGGCGCAGCTGGAATTGACTGATGCATAAACCAGCACCATGGATATTTAATGTTCAAAATATAGCATCAATATTATACTATTATATGTGTTGAGATTGTTATTGTTACTATTATGGTTATTTCATATATTGTGTTATTGTATTGTGTTGCATTATCTTATTGCTATTGTTCTCTCTTTTCAATAATTAAATTATTTATGATCATGAAAAATGCTGACAACTGACTAGTACATCCAAGACTGAATTCAATTCTGCTATCATACTGTGTCCATAGAGGGGTGTTTTTCTCAGTAGCTGATGTCAATTTTATATATACTTACACTGTACATTTCATTTGCCTTAGGTCACCTTAAATTGCCTAAAGACACCTAATGTTGCCTTAAATCACGTGATGTTTTGAGCAAATTTTTCTAGTCACTTAAAAATGCCTTAAATCGCTTCAAGTCGCCTTAAGTTACAGTGACTTAAGGTCCCAGAGTAGGCCAAATTATGTAAGACGTCTGATGTGTGATATATGTATGATGTCTGATGTCTGATGTTAAAAGTCAGTTGTCTGATGACAGATATCAGACGTCTGATGTCCAATGTCTGCTGTCAGACATCTGATTTCCAATATGTACAATGTCTGATGTTAAATGTCAGTTGTCTGATGACAGATGTTGGACGTCCTATGTCTCCTGTCAGATGTCTGATTTCCGATATATGTCTGATGTCTGATATTGTATATCAGACGTCTGATGACAGATTACAGATGTTTACTAACAGATGTCACACATCTGATGTGTATGTCAGACGTCTCATGTCTGATGTCTGCTGTCAGACGTCTGATTTCCAATATATGTATGACGTCTGATGTCTCACATACCGGTATATCTGGTGTTTGATGTCAGACATCTTATGTCAGATGTCAGACGTCTGCTGTCAAGAAGTTTGGATGTCAGACGTCTGATGTGTCAAATATGTATGATGTGTGATGTCAGATGTCTGATGTTAGATGTCAGTTGTTAGATATATGTCTGACGTCGGTTGTTAGATATTAGACATCTGATGACAGATGTCTACTAACAGATGTCAGACGTCTGGTGTCAAGAAGTCAGATGTCAGACGTCTGATGTGTAAAATATGTATGATGTCTGATGTCCGATGTCTGCTGTCAGATGTCTGATGTAAGCAGATGTCACTAGACATCTGATGTCTGATAATATCTGGTGTCTGATGTCAGATGTCTGATGTAAGCATACGTCAGACGTCTGATTTCCGATATATGTATGATGCCTGATATTATGTATCAGACATGTGATGACAGATGACAGATGTTTAATAATAGATGTCAGACGTCTGATGTGTAAAATATGTCAAATGTCTGATGTCAGATGTCTGATGTTAGATGTCAGATGTCTTATGTCTGATGTCTGCTGTCAGACGTCTGATTTCCAATATATGTATGA